AGTGTGGTTTTTTTTCAAGAAATATATACTAGCAAGCAATTTTAGTTTAACAACAAATTCCTGGAGGGCAGGGCTGCACAAATAAATTGACCATCAATGCACATACTCACCACAGACTCAGACACCTCGTTGGTTCTTAAGCAATCAATCAATCAATCAATCAATCAGCTCCAACAGTCAATTAATAAAGTTTAAATAAAAAAAATAGTTTACATTTTAAACTCATAATTTAAGTCATATTGATTACACTACTAAATTGATATTTTCAGGATTTACTTTTCTTTTGATAGTTGTTAAGACAGAATTTACTGGGCACTTCAGAAACAATTTGACGCGATTTTTTTTTGGTTAGAAGTCTCTGAAATTCATCATGTCTGTTTAGTAGGTTTTTTTTGCTATTTCTATTTTAATTTCAAATTTTGGTCTATTGTGAAAACGACTTGCATTCTTCGCAAAAAAAATATTACTTACTTTAAAGTAACAAGTTTTTCTTCAGTTAAATTAAACAGAGTTATTTGTTTCTTCCTCACCACACAGAACTGTACACTGAAAGTAAGAAATAAACAGTGCCTAGGAGTTATTTTATTTGAATGAGGATCATGTATCCACTCTGGAAAAATATTGATCCGGATCCGGCTCCAATTCCAAGATTTAAAGATTTTTTTTAAACAAAAGAATGTATGTATGTAGGACATTTTTATTAATCTCTATTTTTTCAACACTTCAGATTCGAGGTTTCAGGCAAAAAGCTTTTCATTTAGTTTTTCTCTCAGTTCGCCCCTTGGACCCGGATCAAGGAAACCAAAACGTTGCGAAGAAAAGTAAACTAAGCTTGACCCCCCCTCCCCACTCGACTAGATGTGCGGCAACATTGTTATGTTACTCATCATAAAAAGACGTTACTTTCTTCATCATATAATGACGTTACTTTCCTCATCATAAAATGAAGTTCCTTTCCTCATCATAAAATGAAGTTCCTTTCCTCATCATAAAAATGAAGTTACTTTCCTCATCATAAAATGACGTTCCTTTCCTCATCATAAAATGACGTTACTTTCCTCATCATAAAATGACGTTCCTTTCCTCATAATAAAAAGATGACGTTACTGACATCTGATTTCCCCCCCTCTTTTTTAAAAGTCACTAATAAATTCAAATGGCCTTTTGTGAATAAAGGATCACTCTGAATATCGTTGACAGTTCCTTTAATTATTACCTGAATTGATCCAAGTTTGCCGGGTTAACGGAGCATGCTGATATTCCTTTGATTAGTTTAAACCCTGGTATACTTCTACTGCTTAGGTCGGACATGTTTAAAGTGTAGAGAACTCCGTTGCAAACAACTAAAATTTAATTTATGGATAATGATAATAATAATAATAATAATAAACGATCAACCTTCATTCCGTTGAAATCTGGGCCGATCCCTCGTCAAAAACAATCAACAAAGGAAGGAAATTAATTTTCATTTGAAAAATGACACAACATAGCGAGGGATAACAAATGACTACATCACCACCCAACTGGGCTAGTCCATCTAGGTTCCAGTCCAGTATAAAGCTGTAACTGTTATGATTGAAATTTAATAGTTAATATTTCGCTTTTATTTAAAGAACAGCGAGAAAGATCTTATTTTCGACCAAATCAGTGAAGAAAAACCGTTCATTTTTTCTTCAGACAAAAGCAAAGTTAATACTTAACAATGTGTAACAAACATTTACCTAAAACGGTGTTCAGCACCGGGGCAGCGTAAATAAACGTTATTTTACTTCTCTCCCCGACGTGTTTACTGTTCAGAAATATCTTTCAATTTGTGAACATTTTAAAACTTACAATCACTACTGTCATAGTTCAGTGATAGTTGATATATTTTTTAACATTTGTGCAAAATATTAGAAATTTTCTCTTAGCTAATCAAAACTTGATTGACGGAATTCTGGAGAAAAGATTAAGATAAAAACAAACGAATAGGTCCATTCTCAACGAAATCTATATTTTCGTATATCATTTAGGCCCACAAGCCCCTGGTTTCTTTAACTTACATGGACACTCCAAAAAATTGTGAAAAGTAAAAAAACGCAATTTAATAAGGCATGATTATCAAAACAAGCCATTTAAAAAAAAAGTTGTTCAAGTTTAATGAAAATAAATGTTTTATATTATTAAATAAATGACACAAATAAAATTGATATTTTATGCCTCTGAATAAAGTTTGCAGATAGAACCTGGTTTCCATCCTTATCCGTTCTTTCGACTGATTAATATATGATTTAAATACAAGATTTTACATTTCTTGAACCAAATTTTGACATTTTGAACATTCTTGTCATTCTTTATTCTTTACAGATTATCTATTTAATTTCCTTATAATTTAAAAAAAGGAACACTTTCATGGAAAAGTATTTAAATGTTTTTTCGGTCATGTTTATTTTTTCTTTAATGAAATAAATTCTTACGTTTCAGCTACAATCAACTACGAACTTTAAACCAAGAGTTAAAAATAAAAACATGGTTTTATTTTTAAATCATCCCTAGTCCGTACTGAATAACCCTGCCATCTGTGGTTCCAATATACAAAATTCCAACCTGAAAAAAATAGGTTTTTAAACTAATTAGGAAGGTTTTCTATAATTCTGTAAATAAATAATTTTTTACTTTTTACTTTACTTTTACATCACCCTTCCTTGGAAATCACATTCACTCTGATGTACGGTATGTTTGATTGTAATGAAATTATTTTGAGCACAGCCCCCAAAAAAATCATTTCGTACCTACCGGTTATTTTTGCTAATATAAATTTAATATATTTACAATTTCGACATATGAAAGAAGTAAACATATATTCACGTAAAAGGCATGTAATAAAAAATATCAGAATTTATGTAGCAGAATTTACTTTATACTTTATACTGAAAATTGGTTGCTCACAAATAGATTCTAATACAATAGATGGCAACGTAGAATTTGTACACTCTCAGTACAGTTGTATTCTGTCGTCACAAGTGTCAATTGAGTTTTTGTGTCCAACAAAATTATCAATAATAGTGATAATTTTAGAGTAAAGTACTTTTCTTACAGTAAAATAAGCGCAATTTTATGTGTTCTCTAGTCTCTGTTTTTACACTTTTATATTTAATCTTGGAAAACATGTAAACTAATGTGAGACAATTTCGTTTTCCTTGCTATATTTGACACTTGTGACGTTGTGTATTATTGGTTCATTCTCTGTTGCCACCTATTGTACTTGGGGGTTCAAAAATCGTATACTAGGACGGACCCGACAATTGTCTAAACAACATGTTGCTTACGAATTTAGTTTTATCAATTTATTAAATATCATTTGCGTCGCATAAACAATGAACACCTTAGAAAATATATTTGTAAAATAAATATAATAAATAATAAGAAATAACAATAGCTTAGAACTGATTAAATGGAAGATTTTATCAACCCTACCTTTAATTCTAAAACTTCGATCTTAGAATTAGTTTCTAACTCGACTCTCGAAATAACCAAATTTAAAGTAAACGGTTTCGTCATCTTCTGAAAACTTCTTTTAACTTGATGTCGAGATTATTTCAATGACGAATCACTTTATCGACAAAATGTCAATATTTGAGTTTGGTTTCCTGTCTTGGTCTGCCCCAATTTTCTAGCTGAAAGTTGAGAACAGGGTTGCCAGATTTTTTTTTCAGAAAAGAGCCACTTTGGACTTAAAAAAGAGCCAATGGAGCCATTTATTGTGTTAAAAAAAGCCACAATTAAGCCACATTTTAAAGCCATAAAAAGAGATGTCTGATGTTTTGATAGTATTTGTTTTCCTTATTTAAATAAAGTCAGAACTGTAAGTTGAACATGTTCATCATATCTGAAACAAAAATCAGGATTATTTGAAATAAAAAATAGTAAAAAAATTATTTGAAGTAAATAAATGTAAAAAAAGATTATCACATGAGTAAATCATTTTTCTAAAGGAAGTGGGTTTTTGCCACAAACTCTGATTTACTAACCCATATATCTTTGCAATCTGATGTTGCAGTAGACCTTTGATATTTCAAAGTATTAAATTTTTTAGCTCATATAGTATAAGGGTCTTTAAATATCAAAGTAGGTTGCAGAGATACAGGAATCGGAAAATTTGAATTTGAGGCAAAAACTTTTTATATGATCTCCCTGCACAGGTTTTCTACAATAGCTGATTCATCATCAGATGGAACCGTCTTGTACATGTTCTGCGAATTAAACAGATTTAACATGTATTGTGTGATCTCTAAATCTTTACAGCACACATTCCTGGCATGCAAAAAAGATTTGAGACGTAGGATAGAATCCAAGGTTTTTGTGTTCAACCTGTTCGAATATTTATCTTTGACATATGTTACAAGACTAAAACATCCCCCCCCTAGACTGTTTAAGGTTAACCCACTCAGCAAGAAAAATGTAAAAAGTAAAAACATAGAATATGAATATTTACTGGAAACTAAAGGACAACAGTAAACAGGATAAAATATAATAATATTCATAATTTCATATTGTTAAATTCTTACTTAGCATCTTGGTGATATCCATGATCTGTCCCAGGTTCTACCCATGGAAACTCTTTTTTCCAATCCATAATAAATCTTCTTCTAGGTTCAGATCTTTTTTTTCAACACTCCTGATTTTCTTTTAACTGGACTACCCATAATTTTAACTTGGTGTACATATGCTTGCTTATAACTATAAGTTAACTGATGTTCTTCTAATTGTTACTTTTTCTAATTACCGAGTAAGACTGAAAGCTATTCTAAAAATCAGCTGTAAGCATCTGGTGAGATATCTCCGTCCCCCCCCCACACATTAATGAGCATCATATATGGCCCCCCCCCTAGTCTCCCTGACACCTCTAGGGGAGGTCTGAATGAACATCTGTGTGTTACTAACACAGAATTTATAAATTTGCAAACTGAGAAAATATTTTCAAATTCTGCTCATGAATTTTCAGTTTTTTGGTGGAATTTTGAAAAAGAGCCACTTTTTGGTGGAATTTTGAAAAAGAGCCATTTGGAGCCATAAAAGCCACCGGAGCCACAGCCTTTAAAAAAAAGCCATTTTAAGGAAATGTGGCTCCAAAAAGAGCCATCTGGCAACCCTGGTTGAGAAAAATGGTGAAACTAGCGCAATACCGGATACGATTTGCAAATGTCTCTCAGTTTTCAGGGTTATATATTCTCTTTTAAGTAATAAGTTTTGATTATCTTCATGTTTTCAAAAATATGAAGTACAATCAGTCATAAAAAGACTTTGTTGACACTAGATATTTTAAATAGTTGCCCTGGTAATGGATTGATTAGTTGATTTCGTGGCAAATTTTTAAAGTTAATTATGAAATTATACGCGGCATTTTGAAACATATGAGCACTACATTGTTATTGTAACTGAATCATGCCTGTTGTTTTATTGAAAGAATATTGCTTGGCTGGTTGCATAGGCATAGACGCAACATTCATGAAAAAGGAGATTTTAGTTCTTTTCACCCCCTTTAGAACCTAACGTGCCATAAGAAATCTCATTAAACCTGCGTATTGCGTATCACCAAATTTTAGAAACTTTCTGAAATTCGACAAGGAAATAGTTATTTCTGTGCATATTACCCTATTCAAACACTTATTGATGGTTAACAACTTTGCTAGTTTTTAAAACTTTTAAAACAGTAATTTATTTTAATTTTTTTGCAGAATCTGGTATATTCCTAGTATACGATTTTTGGACCCCCCTTATGTTAGTCCAATTGGACAATTCTTGCGATTAATAAGAATTTTTTATATTCAATCTTAAAAGTCTTAAACATATCAAGCAATTGCCCTTCACTAGATGCAATGCATTTCGTATGAACTTCAGTGGAAAGATGTATTACAATTTAATGATATCATCATCAGAGTCAACTACTAAAGCAATTCATTTAGTATGTAACTGAATGACACTAAATTCAAAGAAATCACTAAAATACATGACTAATACTTACCAACGTACATGACTGACACAGACTTTCTCATCAAAATAATTAAAAATAAAATATTAACCCTCTGGTAACAGCATACAGACTCGTAAGGACAGAATTTATTAAAACATAATCATAACACATTGAACATTTTGAATCTTCATTTTCTAAGACTTCAACATTTATTATACAGAACTAATGAAAATATTCATCACCTTGAATGGTTATAAACAAAACTTTTGTGGTTAGATAATCCTTGTTTATTTTTGCATCCTACATCCTACAGCTCAGAGAAACTGTAGGCATATTATTAAATATTACATTATCAAATTATGGAATACACTTTTTCACCACATGAGCTTCTTGGTTGCCTTCAGATGACATGAACCGAGAAAAACAAGAAGATCCAATTCATTCTAGTAGTTCTCCAGACAAGACTGAAAGCAGGTAAATGGTTGAAGCTCTGCAATCATAAAATTGCATTCTCAAGAAAAAGAAGTTGAAACTGCATCTAAACATTTCCCATTTAGTTTCAGCCCTTTGTTCGCCCTTATTATTTTTCCTCTTAAATTTGCATTTTGCTAAATTAAACATAATCTTTAGAGTTGGAATAACTTCTGATAGAAGATATCTTGAGCCTGCTGGAGTGAATAGAAGAAGAGAGAGAAATGACAGCAGTGGAAGAGATAATAGGAGTAGTAGAGATGACAGGAGAAGAAGAGAAGATACAAGAACAGAAAGAAGAAAAGGGAATAAGGACCTGAATGTAGAAAGAAAATATAAGGGAAGAAATGAGAGTATAGCTGAAAGAGACCGAGATAGGGAAGATGATACAAGGAAAAACTGGAGTGAAACTGGGGGTGCAAGGAGAGAAAATACACTTAGGGATGGACAGGGGGAAGTGAGAATCTTATACTCAGGTAGCCGCGGGGCACCATTCTCTGGTCAGATGAATTTATTTGAGCTAAGGTCTAGTCAACAACAAACTGCCTCAGTAGGAATTAGAAATAGTAGTTTTAAGAAAAGTATTGAAAATGACCAGTTAATCAGATATGAACGAGAAAAACAAGATGATTACAGAAAAGGTAAAAACAAAGTACCAATTTTTGATAAAAAAAATTTACTTTAAAATTCATTTAAATTCTACTTTAGCAAGTGTAAGACAAATGATTAAAAGCAAATTTTTGATAAATTTTCAATGGTTTGAAATATTTAAATTTTTCCATGCTGAGTTTTCTTAACATTTTCAACAAGTGAAAGGTCTGGGAAAGTTTAGAGAAACCTTTCTGCTGATAATTCTATGTCCAGTGTCATATAATTATTTTTTCTTTAAATTAATGATGAATTGAGTGCTAATNATAATTCTGAATATTTTTAGGAGTCCAAAATAAAGGCAGAGTAATTGAATCAGAACTTTTTTCCAAGAAAAATTCTTCTAATTCCTTCAAACTACAACCTGGAGAGCTTAAAAGAAAAAGTCAAACACCTGAAAACACAAACTGGCAGGATACCATCAACTCAGTGTTTAATCAATCCAACTCTACTGGGTTTGGGGTTTCACAACCAGCTTTAGTAATCCCATCCCTACCCAGTGAGAAACAACACCAATCACTGTTTAAGACCTGTGAAATTTCTAAGTTAACCGATAAACATAAGCGTCCTGTTCTACTAGCAAATCCTGATCCAGTACCCAACTTGACAGGGTTTTCTAAACCTTTACAAATAAGCAGTGTTCAAGGAACATCAAAATTATCCATGTTAGATAACAACCAGAGTAAAAAAATTAAGCTAGATTCATCATGGACCAGACCAGGCCTATTATTTACTGACACAACCCCTTCCTCTTCTACACCAGCTCTGATTTCTAATGTTTTAAGAAAGAGTCTGGATTTGGAACCTACTGGGAGTCAAAATTCTGATGAAAGGGTTGAAGTTTTAAAAACCCAGATAGGGGAGTTGAAATCCTACATCTTAAAGTTAGAGGAGGAAAAACAAAAGGCTGAGGAGAATTCTACTTCTGCTTCTACTTGCACCTGTGCCAAGGTTTGAATTACCTAAGTTGGGTTTCAATCTGGTTTGTGCAGTTTTCTGTTTTCAGTAGCCGAATTTTGGTGGTACAGCTACAGATTCTCTAGTGACACTAGATTGACTTTAATGATCTTGTTAGTTAACACTGTTTATAGTTTGACCTAGGATTGATTCATTGTGTAGAGAACTTTAGCTTATAAATGTGAATCTTTTGTTGTAAACAAGGTGAGGGGGGGAGGGGGTTTGCCACCCGTTTTTCTGTATTTTACTTCTTCCTTTTCCTTAAAGAATGAAAAAAAACTTTTCTTCAAGAAAGATAACTTCTTGAAAAGAAATTGTGATCCTTAGAGTTTTGCTATTTTATTCTTGTACTTAAAATTTCTTTCATCCCCTCCCCCCCTCCCCAAAAATTTTATTTCTCTTCCTTGTTGAGAAAGTTGTGACACATTTTTTTTCGGAAGGCAATTGTTGTTAAGTGTAAAAGGGACTAAAAGTTTAATTTCAAGGGACCCTTGACATGCAAAGAGGGCAATGCCTGATTTACAACGGTGTCCTTTTGACTGTTTATAGAGTGAAGAAAGCTCTTAGTTCAAAAATCTTGAAAACGACTTGATGCTGTGTTACACTTTGACCTCATCACAGTTGATGCGCAACTTGTGTAATTTAACATTAACAAATATTTTACGTTAAAAACAGTTTCCAAAAATTTAAAAGAAAATATATATTACCTGCCGATTCTAGAAAGTAAATATTAATATTTATAAAAATTGAAACAGCTTGTGAACATAGTGCTCAACAGCTAAACAAAGTTCTGTAGATTTTTGATAATAGGTCTGACAATGTTGATCATTTGAAGGTTTAAGGGTACTTTTGTGATTCAGGCATTCCATCTTAGCATGGAGTGTCACTTAAAATAATGCTTATGGTCCCTTAAAAGTTCTGAAATTTGCCTAACATCTCTGTTTATAACAAAATGGTAAAATTCCAATAGGAAAAAGGGATTTTCCTCCTCAGATCATCTTAAAAAGAATGCATCAAAAACTATTATAAAAAAGTATTTGTTTTACAAACACTGCCGTGCTCAGCCCCATGTCTGTTATTGCTGCAGTGCTCAATCTGGATCTGTAGGCTGTAGCCAGAGTGCACCATTCTTTCATCTGTTCTTTTTTTAAATTGTTTTTGTTTTAAAGTAAATTTCAAATCAATACATTGTGTTATTAAACAACAACAAAAATAAGTCTGGTGTACAAATTGATTTCTTGGGGATTCTTGGGAAATAAACACAATGTTATGATATGAAAATGTGTACCTTCTAATTAGGAATTTAATAAATGTCTGATTACTTAAATCTTATAAAGGTAGACATCCTTGTCACCATGAGCCTCTGCAATTCAGTACCAAGTCTGTGGTCATACATAAGTTGTTTTAACTCATGTTCAAATATGATATGACATTTTTTTAACATTTTTTCATTATTAACGACTTGCCTTTTAATAAATTACAAATTGTTTTGTAAGTTTAATACTAATGCTTGATATTTCTTACAATTCTTAGTTTTATTTGTATAGTTTAGGTTTGGTACTGTATTAATTTACAGAGGCTTATATTGTCTGGCAAATCTTGGATGCTCATTATTTTTTAACAAAAGCTCATGGCCACCAGCTTGTCTCTTCCTTGGTCCATATATGAGATAATTGAGTATATCAATATTACAAAGATTTTAAATATTTTTATTTTAGGATGGACAACTGTTAGCTCTTATAAAAGAAAATATTGAAAAGGTCCGAATTGGCCAGGAGAAGGAGAAGGAGAAGTTGGAACATGAAAGGGGAAGGTTGGAAATGGAAAAGAGCAGTTTGATATCAGAGCAGAAGCGCTTGCATGAAGAGAAGGAGAGGCTAGAGAAAGCAAGGGTGAACTTGAAGCAAACACTAGAGCAGGGGATGAAGCTGTTGGAGGGAGAGAAAGGGAAAATGGAAAGGGAGATCAGGATAAGGCTTGAGCTTGAGGGGAAGAAGGAGTTGGATGGTTTGAGAATGAAGCTAGCTGAAGTTGAAGAGGAAAGGATCAAGGAGAAGGACAGGGAAAAGGAGGAAGAGAAAAGACATGTAGAAGAGGAGTTAAAGGAATTAGAGATAAGAAAGGAGATGACAACAAAAGCAATTGGTAATTTTTAAAATTTATGCTTTTATAGTGTTATAGAACTGGATGATGGATTATTTTCATTATACAAATTTTAAAGTTCACATATCACTTCGTAACTTGATTATTTGATATGAAGTTCTGGGTTTTTATTAAAAAAATTCAGCTTCACTATAATCTTTTGGATAATCTGATAAATTATAGTTTCTTCAAAATTTCAGCTTTAACAGAATTTTTAGATATGATTTCAATAGAAAAAATTCTTAAAAACTTGTCTGAACTCCATGGCATGTACTTAAATAATAAAAGTGTGAGTTAAAGATCAAAATCCTCTGTATGATCATTTACAAAACAAAGTATTTTTAAGTTTTTCACAAAATTCCAGCACTGAAACAAATACAACATGTAGACTTTTCTTGCAATGATTAATTGTAAAATTTACTTATTCTGCATGTATAAAGTAGAAAAGAATATATTTGATTAATAAAAAGCAAAAAGGAAAAAATAAACTTACAAGGAAAAAAAAAACTGCAGCCCAACAAAATAAAATTTTAAATGTTTTATTGAGTCAATTAAAGTACATTCCAAAATTTAATTATAATTATAATGAACCTGTAGTAGTAAAACACTGAAGTGAAATTAGTCATAAACATATAGATTTAAAGCTTCATAAATTTGCTTATTGCATAGTGCCTAAGTCTGAAAAGCCCTTTCCAGAAAATCTCATTGTCCCAAAATCCTGTACATCTGTATAATTTGTATAATCCTTTGAACTAGCAATAATAGCATATATCTTATTAATTTTCACATAGAATGATTAAATACTTGACTTAGGGCTAAGATTTAGATAAGTACATGTTTACCTTAATTAGTTTATTTTCATACCATTACTATTTAAAACAAAAAAATTGCAAATTTTAAAAATCAAACTTTATCTTATAGATATTGTTTAAGAACATATAAAGATGTGGACTATCATTAATACTTGCATTGTAAACATAACATTTACAATTGGACAATGATAATGTAGTAGGTGAGAACAGTGCTAAAAATGCTGACCATAGTTGACTGATTTACAGGGAAGAACCTCATTGCTGAGATTTCAGTTTCTTCATTAATCATCTGCAGAGCTAAAGAAAGATAAATTTAAGTAGTTTGACACTGTTGGGTATCACTGAAGGTTGCTGAAGGTTGTGATTTTTCTCATTTCTCATAACATTTTTTCAGATGATAAAAGACTGTAATGTATTTTGTTTTACCTTTGTTCAACTTTCGCTCAAATTGAGAATTTATGCAGTGGTCCATAGCATCTCTACAGATAGAAACAGTTTCAACATGGTGATAATATTATATTTCAATCATGTTTAGAATAATTTTTTAAAAATATATTAAATACATATTGACCTTATAATGTCCCTGGTAGCCAATAGCTCTGAGTAACAGTCATCACATGCAAAAGAGAGATTTGCAAGAAGTAAAATATTTTTTCCCAAGACAAAAGCATAGTGTAGCATATAACCTGGAGGACCAGCAGTTGAAAGATATGCAAGGGCTGTGATAAGAAAAACTCCTAAGGAGAAGAAAAACAGTAGAGAAGGTCCCAAACCAGTCTTAAGTGAACGATACATTGATGTTATGTGAATAGCTTCATCACCCAGCATGTCAGGATCTTCCATATTCCTGATATTTTTACAGGCACTAGCCATGGTACTAAGCATCATATTTATAAGGAAAATTGAAACCATAGTATCCATCATTGAGACCATTAAGTACACAAAATGAGCTACAAGGCCCAAGGTTTCAAATTCTTGGTCTATTAGTAACTTGATGATTGGATAAACAAGCAGCAGAAAAAGGGAACCCAATGAAACTTTATTAGCTGGAAACTTTAGTTTGTCTTGAGTAAATTGGTTACAGTGTTGAAGAAGTTTAGCAGAGCAAAAAGGTAAAAAGATGACTAGGAGTACCTCAGTGTATTCTGTTGCTATAGAGATTGTTAAATAAACAGCTGTCAACTTACTGTTATTCCACAGTTTAGACAGCTTAGGTAAGACTGAGACCAGGAAACAAACAAGTGGTCCCAGGGCCCATATAATAAACCCCAAAAGGACCCGACATGAGAAGATTTTAAACTTAAAATCCCCTAAGGCAGAGGCTGTTGAGACGGGTATCAGAAGAATAAAGATGAAGAACTCCTGAAGTCTTCGTAAAAATGATTTCTTTTCTGGTTTAATTTGTATTTTCATGATAGCTTTTAGATGTTACTAATTCTCTACACTTCCAAGGCTTAAATGAAAATGGTGGAAAGCCAATGTTTACTTTAATGTTAACCAATTATTTAACTAGACATGGGCTTGTTTTGAAGGTTGCCATTTTTTTTGCTCAAAAGTTTGATTCAATCAATTATTTATTATTGATAATTTATATGGTAAACAATTAGTTTGAATTAAAGAAAAATATTTTGTCAAACTTTAGCGAAAATTGTTTCTTATATTTAAAGGGACAATTACAGATGTTCAATGTGTTATTTAACTGTAAGAACTAATTGCAAGTAACAGTAGCTTCATAAAATTTATTACTTCAATGTTCTTCTTTTGTTGTATTAGAATAATCCACATTTAGGTAATGATAAAAATTCTCTTTTATGTATTATATCCTCCAGGCCAAATAGATTATCAAGTAAGGAAGAACAAATTTTTCCTCATTAGTTGACATGTTTTCCAAGATGAAATATAAAAGTGTAAAACACAAAATTGCACTTATTTCACTGTATGATAAGCACTTATTATCACCATTATTATTAATTTTGTCAGACACTTAAAACTGTTGACACCAGGGGCGGATATAAGGATTTTGTAGGGGGGGGTAAAAATTTAGAACTTTGCGCGCGAAGCGCGCCGAAATTTTTTTTACCCCCCCCTAGAATTTTTTTTACCCCCCCCTAGAAAAATATCATGATGTATATCAAATTATTGGTTTTAATTGGGTTTGATTTGCATTTTCCACTCATTTCTGGGATTTACAAACTCAATCTAATAAAGGCTTCATTACATACCTTTCAGCTTTCACCTTGTTTTATACCCTTCATTATAGTCATTCATTTTACATTAACTACAAAGATCTGTAAAAAAACTGAATTTACTTTA